ATTATTATTAACATTATTATTATTATTATTAGATACTATTATTGTATTATTATTAACATTATTATTAGATATTATTATTATCATTACCAAATACCTTTATAATTATAAACAAAAACGCGAAGCAACCGCCACAGGTAGGAATGGGGCGCAGTCGGGGAAAACTCATGAAGCGACGCTCGACTCCAGGCCCTTTTCCTGACCATTGATTGGTCGGAAGCAAGGTGCCAAAAATAGTATAAAACCGATGTACTCGCACAAGGTCGACAGATAATCCAAAACAATACACCTCGAACGACACACGCTTCGAATTAAACATTAAATAAAACGACATCAAACGCATTTCTGGAATTATACGCATTTAACCAACCCGAGACAAAGGCGATCTCAACCGTTACGGCCTGTTCCGTAACAATTAATTTCATTAAATAGAGAAATGTTTCTACTTTCAAAGTCATATTTGGTTTTTGATGATATGTAAATTCAATTCAGTGAATTATTTCAAATATCTGAACATTAGGTGTGGGGTAACACAGGTCAAAATTTAGGTTAAATTATATTCGCTTATTTCAGCCAAACGTATCTTGAGTAAATATTAGTAACAAACCAAAGGAGGCCCACAACGATATATCTTTACCGCTCGAGATACATCCATAATTACAACTCTCAAGTTTCATAACCCTGTTACGTACCTTTCGTACCGCAGGGACCCCGGTTTCGGTCAGTCCATTCAAGGAGTTGACCACAGGATTTAATTCACACAAGTTTATTGACGGTCGCTTTCTGTACAGAGGCGTTCCTTGATGCAAGGGTATACAACTGAGTGCCCGCCCTGGAAGCGCATTGGTTTTTTAAGCTGCTTCCCTCTCCTGTCCTCGGGTTGGTGGAAATGGGTTAGAGGAGGAAAGATTGAGACAAGGGGAGATAGTTTGGGAATTTTCAGGATAGTACAGCGAGCCTACCCAAGTTTAGACAATTGCCCCTTTTTTGGGGCATCGAAGGATGTCGATGACGTGAACCAGACGAGTGGCACTCCGACCCACGGGCATGCTCGAGCGTCGGGCTCTCGGTGCCCCGCATAGTCTCGAGTGACGCGCCCGGTTCTTTCCTGATTTATTGCACTACCCTTGAGTGGCTTTTTGCTGTAACTGCCCGAAGGAATTTTGGTGAATGCAGAGTGTGTGACCGTAGAAGGATTTCTATGGTTTCCCCGAAGACAAGAGAGGTTCGCTAGGCTTGGAGGTTATGGACGTAACATCCCATTAACCTTGTGGCTCCGGGTGTTACCCATACACCGGTTCGTCCACGTTCTATAAATGCTCCCGGTGTTAGCCATACGTCGGTTCGTCTACGAAAAGTCTTACCTTCGGCTCCTGTTTTATCCATACCACAGGATAAGCCAAACATCTTATGGGATTTTGTGTCCGCAGCACGGGGGCCGAGAGAGCCCTTACCATTTCCGTGTCGCTCCCAACGTCGTTTTGAACGACGTCACTGTTTCAAATCGTGTGACAAAAAGTCATATAAGATGATTGATCTACCCTATATCTCGTCTGTTGTAAGACAAGGAAAGGAATACAGGTAGACAATGACAGCACTAGAGAAAGGAATTAGACCAGGATAAAGAATTGTTCAAAAACAAACTAACGCCATCTCGTGTTTGGCTGCGCGAACTAACAGCTCTTTACTGGGAACACAGAGTGAGAACGAAGGTGTTAAACAAGGAACGCACTACTGTGAAAGAAGGATAGAGAGAAAACGTTTCCTATTGGCCCGCCGACTGCACACCACTGACATCCTCACGCTAAATCAAGTCGACCGGTCAAAAATCATAAATAACTCAATAATTAGAAAGATTTTGTGAACTTTTAGAATTGAAGAATGAAGTGTGGACCTTCGGCAACTTTCACAAATCGATTACAATGCATTAGACCCTTTCAATAATTAGTTATTACCTATTATAGTATGTGATGCCGGAAACGATACTGCACACCTATACCGTTTTTCAATAATTTCGAACTTTTCTAACGATTCTCATGTAACTAAGTGTATGCGTCTGAAAGGTAGCTAAGGGAGTAGCCTTTTAGATTCATACAGTTAGTTGCATGAGAATTTAGTAGAAAGCTGTGAAATTATTGAAAAAAGGTATAGGTACACAGTATCGCTCCCGACATCACCTACTGAATTGTAAATAACTTGTTATTGAAAGGGTCTTTTGCATTAAAATTTACATGAGAAAGATGTTAAAGGTCCACACTTCATTCTTCAATTCTAAACATTAACAAAATCATCGTAGTTATTGAGTTATTAATGATTTTTCCCTGGTCGACTTTATGTAAGCGGAAGCGGATCGCAGATACACGCAAGCCAATAAGAAACGTTTTATCTCTATCCTTCTTGCACAGTAGGCGTTCCTTGTCTAATACTTCCGTTCACATTTTGTGTTTCTGTTGAAAAGTCATAATTCGCGTCACCAAACACGAGATGACACAAGCTTTACTTTCGAAATATTTCTTCCATTGTCTACACCTATTGCTTTTCTTTCTAACTCTAGTCACTAATGCTATCTTTGTTTAACTCATTACCCTAGTGCTACCTTGTCTGCCCCCATTGTTTTCCTTATATAACTTGCTTCTGTATTGCTTAATACCTCGACAAGTTACTCTTCGTATTGAGCACTACTAAATGTATTGGACTGCGAGGGTAGAACAGTTCACGATCGTTTGACATCAGTAGAACACGGGAATATGACATATCAGCTACTAATAAGCAATTACGTTACTTTCTTATTTATAATTTCATAGTTACGGTTAATTCCAAAACAACTGCTAAAATTGTAATCCTATTCTACGCTAAATCGCTAACGTTGGGGGCGAAACGAAAATAATAAGAGATTTCTCGGCCCCAAAACCTCGGTCAAAAAGTCCCATAAGATGCAAGGTCTATCCTGTATGTCGTCTGTGGTTCAGAATCTATCTTGCACCTCGTATGTGCCTTTTTTTTTCTTCTACATGGTGCAAATCTTGATGGGGAATGCGGAGTGGTGAGGAATTCTAACCCACTAAAAGCCCCATGGTTATCCTCGTTGGGCATACTACAGAGCCCAAAGAATCATTTTCAAACACTGTCGGATAACCGCGTCTGTGCCTCTATCTTTTCTGCGTCTGTACCTTCTACACTATATCCAGGCGAGTTTAGGAATGGCGGTTCTCTGTCAAATAAAATTAACAGATGTTTATTCAATTTTAATGATATACTTATTACGTCACTAATAATTGAAAACATTACACATTGCCGTGTATAAAAAGAAGAACAAGATGAGCACGAAGAAGCTACAAATAGTGTAGTGGAGTATCATTAGCCTTCGATATTTTTTCCTTGCAGCAGGTAATGATTCTGGTGTCTCCTTCGCCATTTGTAGGAAATCTTGTGCACATACATCTAGAAATCTGTACCAGTCCACTGTTTTTAAATCAAACGGAAATTCTTTCAAATCGGCAGCATTCATACGAGTTTGAACATCTCGGATATTATCAGATTTTATGATCCAACTGGCAGCTGAAAAGCGCGATAGAACCCTTAAGTTCTTCGTTACCTTCCACACTGCACTGATAGCTCTGTGAAAAAAAATATCACATAACGTTCAAACATCTGAATCCATAATAAGATATTACAAATGTTTCATCATTTTTCAAATAAATATTAAAGCAATTTAACGAAATATCGTTTAAATCGAACTCCAAGTATTCTTATTCGTGTACAGTCTTGAAATTATTCTTTGAAACTTACAATGGTTTCTTCCATAGAGCCACGAGAACTATATCAGCAATTATAGCCGGTATAACGTGAAATATTAGGTGGAGTACAATCAAAGCACCGAAATTTGGAACAAACACTAAGAATGGATACCAAACCGTTTTAAGGGATGGGTATTTATACCCTGCTTTCATAGCTGTTTCTTTTGATAGTCTGTAGGTAAAAGGATTCCAGTCAGATGATGCACAATTGTAAACTTGTGGTTCTTTTGAATTCCTATAGAAAATAATAGAAATATTAAGCTCTTCGCAGAAATTTTAATGCCGGTAAACAAAGACATTCGGATATGCTTTATTAAAGGATCATATTTAATTTAATGATATTATTAGTACCTGTGAACAATAGAATCCCAGATTAACGCCAGGAGACTGTTAGTCACGATGTCAACAGGAATTATGTCAAACAGCGCATCTTCCCGCGCTTGTATCACATGTACTATACCCAGATAGATTCCTATTGACACTGTTAAAGGCCCATTTCGTGTTCCGAGCCACCCTGGCAGCGGTTCCAGATATGGTGGTACAACTGTTCGCAAAATGAATAGAATTACATTTCTACGCGTGGCTGTTGATTTCCAATAATTAATTTTCACTATTTCAAGATATTAAAAGAGACATTTTTATTTTAAAACTAATAGTTGACGATAGAGCAAGGTATCAAACGACAGAGGGTGTATTGCAAGTCGTTGCTCTTACAATTAATAGCCTTGAGCGTTAAAATATGTTCTTTTTTCGATCTTTCAATAGAATAACAAAATTGCGATTGATATCGTTTGTTTTTTCAAAAATCTTTGAAAGCAGGTCGATCGATCGTAACATATTTTCAGAGAAAAATAATGGTATAGAAATTGTCACTGATTCTACGAAGCAAGCAGGTACATTACATTATTATTTTTCATGCAGGTTATATCCAGGGTGATTCTCATAAAGCTGGCCGATTAAAATTTCTCCAACGTGTGAAGAGATACGAAAAAGGACTATCAAACGAGAAATGTTCTGTTCCATGAACGGAAATCTTCTGATGTATGCGGTGGCGTTATAGATGGAGGCGTCTAGATAATATCAAGGTCAACTGTTCTTTTCCCGGAGCATGCAAGGTAATGTTTTTGGCATCGTGTGTCCTTGCATGACCTTGGATGAAACTGTGCCGTGGTCGATGAACTCATCACGCAGAACACTGCGAGACTATAGAGGACAAAATATAGTGTCTCATTTAAATAAAATTCAATGTACCTACAAATCATCGAGACGCGTCGCCTCCACTTACAACGCCACCGCATGCGTCAAAAGATTTCCCCCCCTCCTGAAACAGAACATTTCTCGTTTGATAAGGTACAATCTCATCCTTAAAAATTCTCCCACTTTTTATGATACACCCGGTGCATTACAGTGATTCAGGAATCTCGGACGACGTCCCTTTTCAATTTTATTCAAGTTCTGCAGTATAAACGATACTAGTTCAACACCTTTTTTCAACATGTTTTTATCGTCGAATTGGAATAGCAATGTAATAATGCATTCATACCGATAGAAGGTCTGAAGACCAAGCAAGGGAACGATGCTGTTCTGCCAAAATCCTCGACCACGCTTTCGGTGATGGCTTTACTGAAGGTGTACATATTGGTCCATTTCCCTACGAAATCATTTATCTGTTCCTTGCTAATTCCATATTTCGTCTCTTCATCGGCTCGTATCATATCTTCGACTAGTTTTATGTCAGCCGGTGGTGGGTAAAATTTCTCTTCGATCACTTCGTTGTAAAGATGTGAGTACGCGGTTGAAACGTACACGAACATCTTTAAATGATTGCATTCCGCTGCTAATTCGAGCATCTTCTGCGTGCCAATCACGTTCGACCGCAAAAGATAGGACGGTCTTGCCTCAAAGTACACTACGGCCGCGTTATGAATTATTATATCAACATTCTCGATTAAACATCGACGGTCTTCAGGTGAGAGACCCAAATCGGTTTTTTGTAGATCACCATTAATCGGTACGACTTTTTCCATGAAGTTTGGATTCAATTCGTGCAATTTATGGAACAGCTGAAAACGATAGAAATATGAATATTTCTTTTTGCCCGCAGCAAAAAATCCTTCTCGCAGCGTATACGCTCCCCGATCCCATTCAAATTACATATAAAACATTGCTTGTATCGTTCAAACTAACTGAAATAATTATGTCAGAAATGTTAGTTGTTTATTTTCAATTCTTACACTTTCTTCGGTACTTACAACATTTTCGAAGCGTTTCTTTAGCCGTTCTTCTATCGACACACCCTTTTTCGTCCTGATCACAACGTAGATCTCCTCAATTTCCACACAAGTGCGAAGAAGTTTCTCCAAAATGACGCTGCCCATAAAACCGATGCACCCCGTAAGAAGTAGTATACGCTCCCCGATCCCATTCAAATTACATATAAAACATTGCTTGTATCGTTCAGACTAACTGATATAATTATGTCAGAAGTGTTATCTGTTGATTTTCAATTCTTACAGTTTCTTCGGTACTTACAACATTTTCGAAGCGTTTCTTTAGCCGTTCTTCTATCGACACACCCTTTTTCGTCCTGATCATAACGTAGATCTTATCAATTTCCACACAAGTGCGCAGGAGTTTCTCCAAAATGACGCTGCCCAGAAAACCGATGCACCCCGTAAGAAGTATGCATTTCCCAGCGTAAAATTTCCGTATCTGGCTGACGTCGTTGTACTTCAGATTCTCATTTTCGTCCAGTTGATAAGTCTCGTGTATATTGTTCATTCTAAAATTATTTCATTTGAAAGTTTTATATAATCACACCTGCCTCTTATTTAGCATAAGCAAGAAAACATTTTTTACTTTTATTTTATTTTTTCCAATTTCGAGAATATCTTTTTAGGGATTAATTTTATATCAGTTTCTGTACGGTCGAATCACGCCGGAGACTTCCGCGAAGCCCTACTAACCGACAACTGAGTAACGTCCAAATTTTGCGCGCTTTTATAATACCGTGTTAGTGGTATAATGTAATGTTGCACTCCTAATGTACGCGAAGTGCGTAGGCCTGCATACATTAAATGTTAATGTACACAGTTCAAATTCGTCATTGAAGGTACAAGTTTTATAATTGGAATCCCACGACCTTCTCTGAAATGTACATTACGATCGAGTACAATGAATTCTATGAATGTTGAGTTTAGTAACATCAAATGTCAACATAAATAGTAACGTCTTGTTTAGTAATTGAATGATTCTTATCGGTTTAATATAATATACTAGTTTATTTTCAATTATAAAACTTGTGATTAGTGCTTGTTATGAATTTTTGGGCTTAATTTAACGGATGTTAAAATATTGGGTTGGCCAATAAGTAATGTCGTATTTTTGGTATAAAATAATTGTCATTTCCTTTTGAGCGAAGAAAACTTTATGGAATAATGTATTGTCCACCTTGGTCTATGACCTTTTGCCATCGTGTGCGCATCTGCATAATTCCCTTCTTCCAGAACTCATCTTTCCTTTCTGCAAAAAATGTGGACACGTACATTTTGCAGGCCTCCAAACAGTCAAAATTTTTACCATTTAGCGAATTTTGTAAGGATCTAAACAAATGGTAATCTGAGGGTGCTATGTCAGGAGAGTAAGGTCGGTGGATGAGAACATCCCAGTTAAACACCCTCAATTTTTGACGAGTATGCAACGAGACGTGTGGCCTCGCATTGTCGTGGTGAAAAATTATCCCCGTTCTATTCACTAGTTCTGGCCGTTTTTCTTCAATATTCGCCTTCAGTCGGTCTAATTGATCACAATATTTCGTAGAAATTATATTTTTATTTTTTATTTTTTATTTTTAATTTTTC